TGATTAAATATATCAGTTTATCATGCTATCACGTAAGCACATAATAAATAATCACGTATTACTTACCTCAGGTAATAACCAAAACCCGGTTATCACATTTATACCCATTGCATTAAATGCAAGTTAGGGGGTACAAAAGCACGTGGCCGGCTTCAAGAGGTGAGCTTGTCCTTTGTTGCAGATATATAGCCTTTTGGGCATATAAGAATAGTCTTCTTTCATAAAGTAGGTAAGCACGCTTGGAGACAATAGAGTGACTCTGTACTATACTTTACTTTAGAGAGGTATGGTTTTATCCTTTGTGTGCAAAAGGACAAGAAAAAAACTAATCTTGATCAACAAGATTCATTTGATTGCTGACACTAGAATGATGCTACAGGTCTCATTAGTGTTTACTGAATCTTGCATAGATTTCACACTTGTGTAGATGAGCTTGTAATCACTAAAAACCACTTCAGATCAGGTACTTGCTAGTCTCTATCTTCAGCTTTTATCTTCGATATCACTGAAGGATCTGTGGTGTGAGTTTTATCTTCTTGAAGGATACACTAGAATGATGCTAAAGGTCTCATCAGTGTTTATTGAATCTTGCATAGATTTCACACTTGTGTAGATGAGCTTGTAATCACTGAAAACCACTTCAGATCAAGTACTTGCTAGTCTCTATCTTCAGCTTTTATCTTCGATATCACTGAAGGATCTGTGGTGTGAGTTTTGTCTTCTTGAAGGATATTTGTCTCTGAACGAATTACAATACATGTTCAGCAATTATTGAATAGACTCAATGATGATCGCTAAAACTGAATATAGAGATAGTAGACTTCGTAAGGTAAAAAGAATCATCATCAAATCATTGAGAAAGAGGATCAACAATCTCCCTCTATTTGATGATGACAAATCAACATAAAGAGAATTGCTTAAGGTATAACAAGTTAGGAAAAGGTACTAGTAAAATACTAGTCTCTTTTAATTGTTTTGGGATCATTTTTAATGATACAGTTTACTATGAAGATTTACTTTAATTGTAAAGGATTTCAAGGAAAGAATAAACTTACACAATATAAATAACTAAATACTGAAAGCATATTCATTGACCAAAAAGGTGTCAGCGAATGTAAGACATAAACAAACTCATAAGAACATGTCCCATTTACTCTTTTCAGGGATCTTTTTCAGTGAGCCGGTCATTCTTTTGAAGGGAACATATTACAAGTTATTACAATCAGTTTGGTACACTTAAAACATAAAATTTATACACTGAAAGAAAAGATAAGAAATAAAAGATAAGAAATAAAAGATATTACAAGACTAATGACTTTTATTCTAGATTGTTGAAGTTGACATAGTTTGAAGCATCTTCTCCGAGCATCTTCCGTCTGAGCATTTCCTTTCAAATTTTACTATCCATCAACTCTTCAAATATATCAATATTCAACCAAGTCCTTAGATATTCTAAGTGATCTATAGGGTAGAGATGGAACTCAGATACTCGTTGAAACCTATATTGACCATCATAGTCAATGAACATAAGTACATATTCATGTTTCACATGTACTGTGTTGGGTATATAAGGACCCTTCACAGGCAGTGACAACTTCAGCATTGAGATATCTGGGTTCTTTCGATTCTTGAGAAGTTCATCCAATGAGAATTTTGTTTCATGCTCGTTCTTGTGGGATGGTCCATCTTCAGGTTCAGAAAGGTTTTTTCTTCAAGAGGGCTTTTTTGGGAAAGGAGGAACCTCGACGATCTTCGACACCTTGTTGAATAATTCATTTAGAATATCTTCAATAAGAGGCTTGTGCTTGGATTTAGATTTCTGGATAGCCTGTCGAATCTCGAGTCATTCACATAAGCCATACTAACCGAGGTAGGAGGGGTACTCAGTGACAACATCTTTATTCTCTCGGTATATGAACATCGAAATGAGAAGAGCACCATCTTTCACACGACTATCGATAGTGACGTTTGTGATTTTATGTTGACACATTCTCTTTTCGGTCCTTTCTCTACACCAAGAGAGGTCATGTTCATTCAGCTTCAGCACCCATTGACGTTCACGTTCAACTTCTGCTATCAGTTGGGCTTAAGCGTTGAGAGGATCTTTCCTCATGAATTTCCCTTCTGCAAGTGCCTGATCAACTAGAGCCTTGGCTAACTCCAAGCTGTCTTTAAGTTGTTGTTGATGGTTCTTCAGCTCTTATTTAGCACACATGGATTCTTCTCGTTCAGCTTCTAAAAGAATCAAACTCACCACATCTAGAGGTACGAAAAGAAATTTTTACTTTGGATTGGTCTAGCTGACTTACCAGCTAAGCCATCCTCTGGTCTTCATCAACTATTAAATACTCAGGTTGTCTAGATGACTTTCTGGGTATTAGCATGTTGGCTTTTATCATCATCTTCTTCATCCTCTATGATTTCAAAAGATCGGAGATGGGTTTAGAGACCCGGAGGGTTTGTTGTTGCAGAGAGTAGTAGAAGAATATGCGATTAAGCTTCTGGGGAAAGAGATACAAACCTTAGGAGTATGCATCCTCAGATTGGCTCGTAGCCCTTAGAACGATGGTAAGATTTTTTCCAGCCACTCATTTGCCTTTGTCAGTGGAGTGTTGGTTCCCTGATGATTTCTCCCCCTTGAAAGAAGGTTTATGGATGGAGATTTCTTTTGTTGGTTGTCTTGGGATGGCTTGGATGCAAAAATCATCATCGTCGTCATCATCGTCAGTACCAAGATCAGTGCCTACATCTGGAAGTTGAGGTTCAAAATCCTTATCATCATCATCATCTTCTGCATCATCTTCATCACCAACATTTGCCAATGCAGAAGTAGAATGATGAAGGTCTTCATGATATGCAGTAGCAACATCAGTAACCACGACATCATCATCATCATCATCATTATTGATGGCATCACAATTAGCTTTCAGACTCTACATAACAGCTTCTGAGGACATATCATACACCTCAATTGGATCAATGATTGATTTTATACACATTTTTAAACAACCAGTAGCTTCTGTTTCATACCAACAACACCAGATTTCACCATTTTTTAACATACCAATACTACCATTTGATTTGGTAACCATTATAAACCATCAATTAACCAAATTAAAGTATTTTTACTTTGTTATAACAATCCCTAACATCATGCAACCAAAAACCAACTTGTGTGAAGTCCAAGATTCATACAAACATGATAAGATCTTCAAGAATCAAGATGAATATAATAGTAGAGAGAATATCATCAAAGATTGATTTGATTGAGAGAGAGAAAATTACAGCTCAAATCTTGATTACAATCTGCTAATTACTTGGTAATGACAATTACAAAGAAAATACTATTTATGCTAAGGAAAATAGAAAAGCTACACTATTACAAGGTAAGTAAACTAAGGAGAAACTTGAATACAACATTAAAGCTCTTACTCAAACCCAACATTCTCCCCCTTTGGATTCAAGTTTGGACTCTTATAAATTTCGTCTTTCGAAGTCCAACAATTTTCTCTAGTCTTCTTAGAGCGTTACTGTATTGGATTTTCTTCTCGAGCAAATTTATCGCATTGACCAATAAATATCTTTTCTTGGAACTCATCCTTTCTGATTCAGCAGCTCTGTCATTGTTTACCCTTTTCAAGTCAAGTGCCCTTCTCACTAATCTTATCGTACCATCAAAATATTTGTTCAGCTCACTAAACCTCATGAATTTCTTTACTTGAAGTTGAGCATATTAGATGACCCCGAACTCTGACTTTTCAAGAATCATATAGACAAGATAAGCATCAATATCTTCTAATTCTTGATTTGGTCTTTTCAAATTGATGATCTGTTGATTGTCTTCAAGGCCCATTTGAACATCAATGACCATCGCCAGCTTCACATGACAACACATAAATCTCTTGATAGCCTCAAGAGCAATCAGTTCTCCTTCCTTTCTGTTCGTCATGTTTCTGAGTTCAAAGTACATGTATTCAAGATCATCCAAATATAAGTTTGAAAAATCTGCTTCGCTGAACCTCCAAATCTGACCATCCTGCCTAGYAACTGTAAATACAGGATRCBAGATTCTTAAAAGCTTTTGAGCATCAATTTGTTTAATCGTTACAATCTGATGCTTGGTACGTACTTCACTTATTGGTAGGCACTTGGCTTTCAAAAGAAGTCTGTATTCAATGCGGTAATCTTTGGTCTGACGATGAATGCCAAGAACTTTATCACCGCTCAGAGCTTTTCGATGTCGGATGAAAATTCCAAAGTAGACATCTTCTAGGTATGGCTCTCGGATTCTTGCTCGATCATAACCAGGAAAATTTGCTCTGATATGGAATGGCACATAATCTCTGGTGAAGATTTAAGTAGGATCAACTTGTTCTCTTTGAGCAGGAATGTCTGACACATCAGGTAAAACTGCAGTGGAAGATTCTGGAACAGACTGACGGTCTTCTTGAACAGGAAAGACTGGATCTTCATCATCTATATCAGCTTCAAAATCAAAATAGATCCTAGTCGACTCGTCAATGTTGTCAATGTCTTCTCCAAAATCTTTCTCTCCACCCAGCGTAGTAGAGAACATATTGTTGAAACCTACGTTGCCAGACAAGTCCAAGAACATCTTTGTTCCTACCATGGAGTCCGCCAGCTTTTCAACCATTGGCTCGATCGTAGGACTTGTCTCCATTTCTTCATCTTTAATTACAATGGCCTCAATTACTCTTTCCCGAATAGATTCTGGGGTAGAGGTTTCAGCAATAACATCTTGAGTTGATGGCTCCTCTCCAACCCTTGCACCTTGCTCAGATGACTCGGCCAATCTCTGTCTCTTTCTCTCCCCCTCATGACTATCTGGATCATCCTGATCGTCATGCCTTCGTTTAAGAGAGATAGCCTGAGACCTGCAAGTTTCTTGGGTATTGGATGTGATTAACTTACTAACTTTAGAGAAGCTAGCAGTAACCACATCTTGAAAAGCCAAAAAACTCTGAGGCTCGAACAAAAGGGTTAATATCTAACTGTTGACGTAAGAGATAGACCAAATATGCATCTTCAACGTCTGGATTTTGAGATGCCATAAATTTTGCATATAATAACGATTTAAGTTCATCCACCGATTGATCTGGTACTGACGGTTCATGTACATGTGGTGGTGATGGCACAGATGGTGGCTCTTCTTCTACAACTTCCTTTCCCTTCAAAAGTCTTTTAAGACTGGCCATTTGAGCATCCAAATTATCTTGAACAGCCTTTAGGGCACCGTCTAAATATTCCCTTGACACGAAGTCAGGTAAACTCACACCTTAAACTCACACCTGGATCACTTAGATTACCAGTTGTAACAACAGTTGAATAAACTGTTGTGCCTACGTTCAATGTTGGCATAATGTTAGCATTGGTAGGACTTCTGACCTGTCCTTGTGGAATGTCAAAAGACATCACTCCGGTCGTTTGGGCAATTTCACGAAGAACTGCACTTTGAGCAACAGATGCTCCAGACTCATGTGTACCTATGTGTATCGGCTCTAGACACGAGGTGCACAGAATCGAAGTCGTAGGCTGGGGCAGCGGCCTACTTATTTCAATAACTACATTCTCCAAATGAGAAGTAGTTAGCAGTTGTGCTCTATCCCCTTGTGAAATTGAAACAACTGGTTGTTGAGAACCAGTTGAGTGGATGGGTGGGGTCTGCATTTGCATAGCTAGGCTAGCTATGTCTTGTTCAATACTAACATTCAAAGAATGAATGTCAGTAGCAGATGTGGGTGCCCGGCTATGTGTTTCAGCTTGGGAAGGAGCTTGATCTTCTTTTTCTGCTCCACTCTCACCCTCTCCATATTCTTTTTCTTCCCTTTCTCTCAACCTCTCTTCATTTTTGACAAAAACACCCTCATCTCCTCCTTCATCAGATAAATCTTGAAATATACGATCGTAATCATCGCATACTTCAACGTTGAATGACAAAGAATGTAAACTTGACAACGTTGTTGTGATGAATATTCAGGAAATATGTCATTAATGTCATCAACAAAAGTTCCAATAGGAATATTCTGAGTAGGAATATTTTGAGCAGGAATAGATTGAACACGATCATCTGCTCCATCATCATCATCWTGATCATCACCAGAATCTGCCTCATTGTCGGATTCAGTAGCTTCCGAACTTCAGGAAGTTGTGGAAGTACTGACAGTTGAAGTACGTTGCTGATCAGACGCTCCCCCCGCCTGTTCACCCCTCTCAATTTCTTTTTCTCTCAACTCACTTCCCTGTTCAGGTAACCCCTGTTCCTGAACACGCTCTTCTATTTCAACCTCTCTCACATCTGAGACATGGGGTGATCCTTGGGCAAGTTTAACCGGTTCTGGTTGAGCTATTGGATCTATCACTCACCTATAGTCTATTACGCACTGAGTGGTCTGATCAGCTAAAGTGATAAGTTCTGGTGGAATAGCCATTATGGAATCCAAGTTTTGAACTTCTGTGTGCTGCCTTATTCTGGTCATGACAAATGTAGGCCCTTTTTCAGCTTTTGACCTGGCTGGAATATCTTCGTTTGCATTCATCATGGCCTTGATAAACAATTGCACAAATCTCAGAAAAGGCACAAATTTTCTTGCTTTGCACGGAAATCTTTTTGCATTAACCAGCTCTACTAGTTCATTCCATATGATTAACGCATAGTCATAGTTTCTTGGAAAGACTATTCCATGAAAGAACTTTAGAAACGAACTCTTGCATGTGTCTATGCCTGCAGTTTTCGATGTCAGGCATCTATTTGGAATTGAAAATAGCAGATGCCATATGGAAGGTAGAAATCTTCTTTTGAACTGAGTAGGATTAGTCAACTCAGCAGAGTATCCTAATCTTTTAATATATATGCACAAGTGTTCATTAGAGACGAAGTCTTCAAAACCAGTAGATCCAGGACCAGGCAAACGAAGAATTCTTCTTAATCATTTTAATGTCAGGCGACTGACATATTCGTCTACTTCTCCTTGGAAATAGATAGTGTCTCCGTCCTTTTCTAGAGTAAGCGTACCCCAAAATTGTTTTAGATACACCATCGGAAAAGGTATATTGGCAGATAAAGAATAAGCTATTGGGTGTCTTTCAGGATTTCTGGTATAATAGGGTATTCGGCTGGCATCACAAAAGAGAATGTATGGTTGTTTGGCTTTATGTCTAAGTATTTTATTTGAGGGAAAAGGGTTTCTGAAGGAATAGGTTGGTTGGGCGGGTGAATTGAAATAATATCAGATCTGACGAAAGGAACATGAGATTCCTCGTCAGATTGATGTTGCTGTTCCGCCATTAACCTGTAAACATTCTAAAATATTAGTATCCATTTTATTCAAGAAATTTGAATTAAAAAAAAATACAGCACACAACAAAAAAAATAAACTCTAAAAAAATTAAAACTAGAAATAGAAAAAAAATAAAAAATAAAAAAATAAAAAACACAAAACAAAACAAAAAAATCACTACTACACCACTTAGACAAAACACTTAGGAAAAAAAATGAAACAAATTGACCGGATTAGAAGTCCGGACAACAAAGAAACAACAACACACTTAAAAGAAAATAAAGGTTGTGACCGGATTATAAATTCGGACAACAAAGTAAACATACACAAAAAATACTAAGTTTAAATGAAAACGAACTAAATCGAACAATCATCAACCGGATTAAGGTTGATCGGAGTGAACTCCGATCACCTTGTCCGGTGAGATATCCGTTCAACACACTAAAAATTCAAAATACACACTAAAAGAATCAAAACACACACTAAAGAAATCAAAATACACACACACAAACAAAGATAAAACAGATTTTATTAATATTTATCTTTTTATGATTCATTTTAAGATTCGATACGAAGTAAAACAAAGATTAAGTCCAATCAGTCCGAATGTCCAATATGAATCCAATACGATTAAGGAACATGTATAAAATAATCAAATGATGTAAACCTTGATTAGCAAAGTGATGGAACAGTAGACGAGTTGAGCGATAAACCAGAGAGTCGAGCGGAAAAGATGATGAATAGTAAATGAGGATAAAAAGTAAAAAGTAAAAATGAGTCGAATATTTATAGTCAAAGTAAAAAACCGTTCAGATTCTTAAATCGCTCAAAGCTTATCCGGATTAGTATAAATCGGTCAAGAGGTGTCCGATTTATGGAATAAGAATCAACTAAGTGTTAATCCGGACAATAAATCACTCAAGGCATGTACGATTTAGAAGAACACCGCTCAAGACTTGTCCGATTTAAGGATAAATCGCTCAATGAAGAAAGATAAATCGCTCAAGTTAAGAATTAAACCGCTCAAGAATTGAACGATTTAAAGACTTGGAAAAAAATTACTCAACAAACGATTTAAGAAATCGAACAAATGAATTCAATGATTTAGTAATCCGCTGAATCCCTTTGCAAAGTATATCTAATCTTATCCGGATAAGAGTTTATCATGTAGCCTTTTGTCCGGATGTCTAAATCGGACAATAAATCGCTCAAGTGTTGTCCGGATTTTCAATAAATCGGACAGATATTGTCCGGATTAGATAAAATCGGCCAAACACTTATAAACTGTTAGTTCAAAACAGATAAAATTCACACCCCTCAAAATATGATCAAATAAAATAAAACACACTCCTCTCAAATATAGATTCCCACGATCAAGAAATTTAAAATCAGAAAGAAAAAATTGAAACACTGACTTGTATTTTAAAAAATACAGATATTTGACTAATTGAATTTGAATTAAACACAATTCAATAAATTGAACTGTTTTTAATAAAAATTCAAATTTTCAAATTTAACATACCTAACTTAGATACAAGAAAGCTAAAGCGTTTTTCATCTAAAGGTTTCGTAAATAAGTCAGCTAATTGAAATTATGTATTTACAAAATACAGTTCAATGGTTCCTTTTTCTWCATGATCTTTAATAAAATGATACCRGATATCTATATGCTTRGTTTTAGTRTGTTGAAMAGAATTACATGAAATAGCAATAGCACTTTTGGAATCACAGTGAATAGGAATTTTATTAAAATAAAACCCGTAGTCTCTGAGTTGTGTCTGCATCCATAGCACTTGAGAACAGCAGCTTGCAGCAGCTACATATTCTGCTTCGGCAGTGGAAATGGAAACGCAGTTTTGTTTCTTTGATGCCCAAATGACTAGCTTGTCTCCCAAAAACTGTAGATGTCCTGTTGTACTTTTCCTGTCCAACATACAGCCTGTATAGTCTACATCTGAATAAGCTGTCAGCTCAAAACCAGTACCCTTGGGATACCAGAGTCCAAGATTAGCAGTCGCTTTAAGATAACGGAAAATGTGCTTAACAGCACTTAGATGGGACTCCTTTGGATTAGACTGATATCTATCACAAAGATGTGTTGAAAACATTATATCAGGTCTACAAGACGTCAAATACATTAAAGAACCTATCATGCCTCTATATGTTTTCTGATCAACAGCTTTTCTAGAAGGATCAGCATGGATCACAGTTTTCCATATTAAATTTCTTCAGGATATCTAAAATATATTTAGTTTGACAAATAAAGATACCCGAAGATAATTGTTTAATTTGAAGGCCTAAAAAGAAGCTCATCTCACCCATCATACTCATTTTAAAACGTGAAACCATCAAGGCAGAAAAGTCTTTACAGTATTTGGGGTTTGTAGATCCAAATATTATGTCGTCTACATAAATTTGTATCAAAATGATATCAAACTTTTCCTTTTTAATGAAAAGAGTTGTGTCAATATTACCTTTCGAGAAGCTTGACTTTACCAGAAACTCTGATAACATATCATACTAGGCTCTCGGAGCTTGTTTAAGGTCGTAAAGTGCTCGATCAAGGATGTAGACATGATCCGTCTTTGATTGATCAACAAAACCCTCCGGTTGTGAGACATAGACTTCCTCTTTGAGAAGTCCATATAAAAATGTTGTCTTGACGTCCATATGATACATCGTGAAGCTCTTGTGTGCCGTGTACGCCAAAAACATTCTTATTGCTTCAATCCTTGCAACCGGGGCAAACGTTTCGTCATAGTCAATGCCTTCTTGTTGATTATATCCTTTAGCAACGAGCCGAGCCTTATTTCTGATCACAACACCATCTTCATCCTTTTTATTTTTGAATACCCATTTAGTACCGATAATCGTCTTATTGTTGGGACAAGGTACCAATCTCCAGACTTTGAGTGCTTCGAACTGGTTCAGCTCTTCTTGCATTGCTAATATCCAATTCGGATCTGCTAAGGCTTCTGAAACCTTAGTCGTGTAACATACACTTTCGCAAATACGTTGCAATTATCCCCTTTTATACGTGTTTATGTGATCAAAACGTAAAATTTGGAAGCAAACCCGAATGCAATAAACTATATATGAAATAGTCGGAATCATCGTATGAGGCCCGGGGTAAAACAATTGGAAAAAAAGGGGTCAAAAGCATCAATATCTACGTTACGGATACATAAAAACTGACTTTTATTGGAAAATATTTTTTAGATATTTCTATTGTAAGTTGTAGATTATCTCTTTACGAACGCGTGAGCGAAAACCACGTCAAAAACGGAGGTCCGAGCGAAAAGTTATGCGATTTTTAGTGATTAGTGGTCAAACCCAGTTTTCAGCCGAGTCAACTCAGCCCTAACTCGTAAAAGTCGGTTATACATGTTATTTACCTTCTTTTTCACCCAGAACAGACTCTCATCTCCAAAACTTACTACCAAGGGTGATTTTGGCTTCATAGGGGTGAATCAAGGTTGTTTCAAGGGGTTTTGCTTGATTTTTATGCCAAATTCATCATCCAATTAAGGTATAACTATTTCATTGGTTAATCTCTTGATTTGAAGCTAGTTAGAGATGAAATCAATGAAACGTAATCTGAGTTATATTAGTAATATGTTGTATTTAGATTGGTTATAGCCTAACTAAGTTGTTATGATGCTTGATTGATGATTTGGAGCTTTCGAAAATGAAGAATATAGGTTGAACTTTAATTTTCTTCATTAATGGCTATTTTGGTGAAATTCTTGAGTATCGATCTTTTAAACAATAATATAAACATGGTTAGATGGTATTTTTATTGTTGGAATAAAGATTGAATCTAAAATATGGATTTTAGCCTATTTAGTTGGTGAATTTGACAGCACCAAATCTATCCGAGTTGCTGTTTTGAATGTACGATAACTTCTTAACCGTAGCTCAGATTTCTACGATTCTGGACATTTTACAAAGCTTATATGTAGATCTAAACCTGTACTTTAGACACCTTTTATAAATAAGGCTTCTAGGTTTGTTATAATTGCGTCTAAAAACTGATAAAAAGTTGATTTTGAGCTGTGAATTATAGTGCCTAAAATGAGTTTAAATTAAGTTTGGTTAAGTTTTTGTTGTCGGATCTCTATGAAACTTTAAGTACATAATACAGGTGTTAAATAAGCTCACTTGGTCCTTCCAGAGTGACCGTTGGACGATGTTTAGACGTATATGGACGTATAGCCTAAGTTGGCTCGATTTTTGAGTATCGAAAAGCACTGTGAGTTTATGGGGCTACTTAACTTGCTATTTGCTAGACATGTGTTATCTATTTTGCTACTTTCCTCCACACTCATCCATGTTATGTCTCCCTATCAATTTTAAGAGGATATTGGCTATTGCACTCCATCCTTCCATACATGCTACTCGGTGGTTACTTTGTGTTTCACCCGGGGAGGCATGCTTAAGCCCATATCAGCTGAGATTACTCGAGTATGGTGCGTATTTGACCGTGTTAGAGTCCGGTCATTTTCCCCGCTGTCCGGGATAGCTCGGGTGGGTAGATCATTCCACTGGCCGGGATAGCTCGGGTTGTATGATATCTATGATATATATTGTTGTGCTTGCCACGACCGGGATAGCTCGGTGGCAGTACATATCAATTGTTGACTTTCACACAATCTATTTGTTGCATACTTTGATATTCAGATGTATGATTCTCGAATGATGATTACTTATTACATGATTTACATCCTTCGTGATCACTGACTTCCATGGATTACATTTGTGAAGCTTTAGTAGTTAGTAGTTCCCGTTTACTCACTAAGCATTATGTTCTTACCCTTTTAGTTGTTCACATTTTTACAGGCCATGTAGATAAGGCAAAGAAAAAGCTCGAGTAGATTGAGATATTTGCTTTTGGTGCTTCCAGTAGCACGACTCTTTTGGAATTATATAGTTAGCCGAATACAACTATGAATTGTAAATTATTAGTTGTCTTTTGGTTGTAATTAAAGTATCTAGAAAATGGGTAGCTAATATCCTCCGTCTTTTATATAGTTTAAGCTTTATGCAAATCTATTAAGTTTATTTTGTCCGTTTTAGGATATTTTGGAAAACA